CCGAACACTGCACTGTTAAGTTCAACTGGTTTACAGATCTATCAGCAGCAGTTAGGCTGTCTACTCTTCGCCGCTGTCACTTGTCGTCCTGATCTAGCCTACGCGGCCAGTCAGCTCGCTCAGTTCCTACGCCGACCTGATGAGGAGCATCAGCTTGATCTGCTTCGAGCACTTCAGTATTTTATCTCAACACCTGACGTCAGATTAGTCTACAACGTCATCGGCTGTAAAACACTCTATCTACATGGTTTTGTCGACGCCGATCACGCTGCTGACTCTACTAATCGACGGTCGCGCACTGGGTTCATCTATCGACTGGAACCTATCGGACCTATCTCTTGGAATTCTACGAAGCAGGAGCTAATTGCACTCTCCTCTGCTGAAGCCGAGTTTATTGCTGTCTGCACAGCAACACGCGAAGGACTTTACTTGCAGGAACTACTGGAAGAAGCGAAGTTGACGACAACTACCCAATTTACCCTACAGTGCGACAATCAAAGTGCAATTCGCATCGCACATCAACCTGGTTTCGTCAACAGAACGAAGCATATTTCGCTTCGTTATTTCTTCGTCAAAGATGAAGTCGAGAAGGGGAGGATGTGATTGGTCTACTGTTCGACCAACGAAATGGCTGCCGATTTTCTCACGAAGAAGCTGATACGACAGAAGTTTCAGTACTGTAACAAGCTCTGTGGAATCTTCAAGAAGTGACACTATCGACATTCCAAAAATGAAGGGGAGTGTTGTGACATAATTGGTACTTAGCATTTCTGTAAGTCGATTATGTGTAGTGCCGAATCCTACTGTAGAAGATAAGTCCGTAGGATGACGTCAGCAAATAGCGCTCGTCATAGGACAGTCGTTTCAGTCACGCGAACAGTCGCACCTCTTCAATATCATCTAGAGCGCATAGCGCGATAATGACGAACAGGTACATTAGCGAATAGGTACTTTTCCTAGAACTATAAAATACTTGTTAGGTCTTTTCATTATTAACTTTGTGATAAACTGTGTGACAAAACTTTGATTACCCACAAGTTCACGTACTCAGGTTATTCAACCTTGACCTTTATAATTTACAAGACTTCCGCTGTCTTACTAGTCTACCCTTCCAGCAAAGATCCTGGACCAACACTTGAGGATTTGCCAAGTGTTCGTGTTTATAGTTTTATACTTAGTCTATTACAACACCAAACGATTTATTTCAACTAGAAGCACACACCTCGGCTAGCCTATAACTTCTACATACAGCATATGTATAAGTTGACATGTCAAACATATTTGCATTTGTTGTTGTAGACTATATAAGGTTGTGCCTTAGAGAATACGACCCACTAGGTTATAAACCCTTGTATTGTCTGATTCTAGTTAATTCATTTTGTTGACAGTATCCCCTTGCTATAATCAACTACTTGTTCTCACATACTAGTACAAGGGTTCAACTCAAGACTTCCGATATGCTATAAAGCACTCTGTTAGAAGGACTTAGCCTTCAGAAAAGATCCTTGGGCTATACTCAGCTTAGCGAGAAGGACGCGCGTGATGGCGTCAGCAGTGGCGAGTCAACTCGTGAACGCTACGTTCGCGCGTTTAGTTACCTAAAGGGTTACGCCACTCTCAGTCATACAAACAGTCACTAGTCATGTCACGCGAATAGTCGCGATACACCACGAACAGGTACATCCGAATAGGTACTTCATATACTATAAATATGTGCGCATTATCCATTATTATTATCATTGTCATTTCATACATTTTCAATACAAGGTGTTAAGTCTTCCGCTGACTTTTACTCGTGGTTCCACCAACTCTAGATCAGGCCCTCAGAAGTCAGGCCAAAAAGGCCTGAAAGCCTGTATATCAGGGTGTTTTTTAGGGCATACCCTGATTTTTCAGGTTTTGATTTTTATCAAACCTGAAATTTATGTGTTCCCATGTTTTAAACCCTGAAAAATAGTACGTTCTTGTTTTTGCGAGTCTGACGAATCAGCCTTAGTCGAAATCTGCCCTGAAACATAATCCTTTCTGCAGGGCGAGCTGGAGCAGGTGTGAGGGGCGTGACTGGTCGACCAGAATCACGCTAGGCGAGCTGGAGCAGGTGTGAGGGGCGTGACTGGTCCTTCACCAGAATGACGTAGGTAGTTTTATGTGAACTGGAGCAGGTGTGAGGGGCGTGTTTGGGCCTTAGCCAAAAGCACAGACCAGCCCGCAGAAAGTGGCGAATTGCTGCGTGAATTTCGCTAAACTGGAAATCCACGGCGAAAGTTTGCCGTCCCTGCGACTGCATAAACAGCATTCCCGGCAAGGTACGAGGTGACGCCTGTGCCTGAATCTCGGCAAATTACGAGGTGCTGGTTTGGGCGAAGATGCATTTGCGAAAACCACGCATGCACGTGGCATCACTTGCGACTTTCGCGATGTTGAGCATGTGCCGCCATATCTGACGCGAGGGTTGAAAGTCTGAGCTGCGGTCCGGGAAAACTGAAGTTTGACACCAGGTTAGTCTGACGCGAGGACCGTAAGAATGTTCTCTGAGTACTCCGCCAAAATCACACAGGTACATCGTACGCAGTGAATGTCAGAAACTAGCTTAGCTAGGAAGCCATAGAATGGCACAAGGTTTAGCTAGGAACTAGGAGGAGCCATGAGAATGGCGAGAGGTTTTAGGTGCTAGGAAAGTTGAGGAGAGAAAAGATGTTGGATTAGAAGAGAGGGGAGTACAAGGAGGGGTTTGTACCCCCTACAGAAAGGTTCAGTAACAACCTACCAAGCCTGTATTAAATTATAACTTATATAATTTGAACACACCCCCTAGGCTTGGTAGTCACATGCCCACACACACCCACACCCCCTAACCTAGCACCCCCATTCCAGCCACAGTGACAGCGACTCTAGGGCGGTCGACCCCACGGCGCGTGAGGCGGCGAGGTCGACCGCAGGGGCTGCGGCGGCGACGGCAGCAGCGGCGGCAGTGTCGACAGCGGCGGCGGCGGCGGCGTGCGGCTGCGTGGCCCCGACGCAAGCGGCGACAGCGGCGGCGGCGGCGGCTTCGACAACAGCGGCAGCGGCGGCGGCACCCGCACCTCTCGGCGACGTGGCCAGGCCCCGCGACGGTGGGACGGCCGGCGGGAGTCAGCCGTCGTCTGCGGAATGGAAGAGGGCACAAGGGAAGGAGGGGGGTGGGGGGGGGGGGCGCCACAGGCTGACATGCGGGCGGCCGGTCTAGCGGCGCCACAAGCGTCACGCGGCCGGCTGCAGCCCGACGACGCCGTCATGGAGCGGCGTCGATGCCGCAGCGGGGCGTCGACGTTGCGACGGCAACACGACGTCGCCGTTACGCCGACCGCGCGCTGTCGCGTAGACGCCGCGGCAGCGTGACGGCGCCGTCACGTCGCGACAGCATCTTGACGCGACGGCGGAGCTGCGGCACGACGGCGCGGCCACAGCAGCTGGACGCGGGCGCCATGGACGTCGACGGCGGCGCCGCGGCACGACGACGCGGCCACAGCAGCTTGACGCGGCCGCCATGGCAGCGCGAGATAGAGAGAGAAACGAGCACGCAGCGGAAACGCGAGGAGCAGGCCCACGCGGAACGAACTGCTCTAATACCATGTCAGAAACTAGCTTAGCTAGGAAGCCATAGAATGGCACAAGGTTTAGCTAGGAACTAGGAGGAGCCATGAGAATGGCGAGAGGTTTTAGGTGCTAGGAAAGTTGAGGAGAGAAAAGATGTTGGATTAGAAGAGAGGGGAGTACAAGGAGGGGTTTGTACCCCCTACAGAAAGGTTCAGTAACAACCTACCAAGCCTATATTAAATTATAACTTATATAATTTGAACAGTGAAGTCCGATCCGAAATAAGAATCAGATACTAAAAAAACGTAGGCCTGATTAGTCAGACTTAAATTTTTTTTGGCCTGAAAAAATATGCCACGCCCAAAACCCGACCCTGAAAAACAGGGTTCTCACATGGGCGATCCTGAGCAATCAGCCTCCCTAAAACCAATCTGAGGCCCTGCTCTAGATCCTGGCCACCCTAAACACGTGGTTCAATTCTACAAGTTACACATGAATACAAGATATATGCTACCTTGTGAGTCAGGAAATCACTATACCCTTACACGCTCCCTCACTTTCATTTCCAATCTATAAATTCCTTCTCACATAATCACTCATATTATCCTTGCAGTGCAGTGCACGGAGGTGTACCCAATGTTGGCAAAACTCTGGTGTTTCGTTTTCGAGGGGTCAAGTCGAGAGGAGAGGAGGTGACATTGGTGCTGCCGTGGAGCGAGAGTTCGTCACGCGAGGTCACCTGAGGTCACGCGAGTTCGTCGTTGGCTGGGGAGGGGGAGGCTCGGTGCAGCGAGCGTCCCCCGAACCCGACGGATATGGCTGGGCAACAGCCTTGGGCGAGCCCCGGGGCGAGTCCCCGCACCACATCGAATTCCCCTCGCTTGTGCCCCCCGAGCCTCGCTTTCCCCTCCCGAGACGCAATTTCGTGATTGGTCTAAGGTGACCTTGTGTGGCGATTTTTCCATGACTAGCCAATCATTCTGCGCATTCTAGCCTCCGAATCTGTTCGAAATCTGCCGTCTTATCCCATGTAGCTGTCTAAACACCCCCCCCCCCCCCCCCACCCCCTCTCCCCTCCCCGCCTCTACCCTGGTTTCATCCCCGCGAGCTTTCCCGCGCGCTCAGAGCCTGCTGCGCGACCCCATTGGCCTCTTCACATGCCGTCCGTTGTGTTGGAATCGACCCAGGTCCGGTTCGTTTCGATGGACTTTAAAAGGGTTAGGTGTGATAAAAATAATTGTAGACGTGGTAAAACGCGTTACATTATGAGTGTCGGAAAGTGAACCTGCGAACCGGACGCAATGTACCGTGCCATCAGGAAGTTTTGCAAGAAGGCGAAGGGTCCTCCCCTCGGCGAGAACTCGGCAGAAGCGAGAATTTGAGAAGCGCGAGAACTCGGCAGAATGAGAGGCCCAGCCTGCCCAGAGTCTGTAGGCAATCCCGCTGTTCGTCGCAGTCTTCCGTCGTTCCTGGTAGTACTGTAGCTAGCTACATACAGTATTAGGCATCCAGCTACTACACAGCGCCTCACGCCTCAGGTACTAGTCGTAGTAGTTGTAGTAGGAGTTTTTATTATGAGGGTAATAATGCTTCTACCCCTCGGGAAAGAAACCGATCTGGACTCGACGCCATCTGGGAGTATTACTGATTGTGCTCCATATTTTTCCAGTACCCTCTCCTCCGAGCATGTAGGCTAACCTTAAGAAACGTGACGTTTATGAGCTATTAGTAGTGTTTTTTTTCTCCCACCCAGTATGACCAATGCGTTTGCCGTGGGGCATGCGGATTGCACAATGAAAGCAGTGGCGACTCGCGATAGATTAGTGGCTGGGATTGAGCGCGGAATGGGAAACGGGGTGGCGGGGGGGTTAGGGGAGGGGGATGGGGGAAGGGAGTGGCTGGGGCTAAGTGGCGGAAAGGCTGCAGCATCCCAAAATTCCAGGATCAGAAATACGGAGTAGGTATACAGTAGGTGTGGCATAGGTACGTCTGCTACGGAGTAGCCTTGCTATACGAACAACTATACCTACAATGTAGGAGAGATCCACATTTTTGTGATGAGGAGTTTCCACGGTGGAAAAGAGATGTGGGCGTGGCATTGGCGCGTGGGCTCCGGCACTGATGTGCAGCACTATATCAGACGTCGCAGTTCCGTGAGTGATTCATCCCCATCCCCAATCTGCTGCTCTTCCTGCCTCAGTCTTCACCAGGCAGTCGCTACTAGTAGTAGTAGTAGTAGTCGTAGTAGTAATAGCAGCAGTAGTAGTAGTGTAGTAGTGGAGTGGTGGATCAGTCTTGATGGCTCTCCTCTGGGTCTCACGACCCTTCCCGCTCTTCGTGCTGCTTCTCGGCGCTGCCGTTGCGACGAGCACGCTCACGTACGGTGCCGCAGTGGAAGTGACCCCGCCTTCGAACGCCACGTCACCTCCGGACGTCGCCTCGCCTCCGGGCGCCCCGCCTTCTAACGCCACGTCACCTCCGGACGTCGCCTCGCCTCCGGGCGCCCCGCCTTCGAACGCCACGTCACCTCCGGACGTCGCCTCGCCTCCGGGCGCCCCGCCTCCAGGAGCCGCTCAAAACGCCAGTGGTGGTGGCATTGTTCTCGGGAGCACAACTTTCTACCCCAATGTCACCTTTGTAGATGCCAGTGGCCAGATCATCACGCCTTATCGGAACGAGGATGGGTCGGTCACTGGAGGAGACGTGACTGTTTGGAGTAACGGCACGATTGCTGGCAACGGTACGGTGGTAGACACGGGGAAGCCTATCGATCTCACTAACATCATTGTCACCGCCTCACCTCCGGGCGCCGGCGCCGCACCTCCGGGCGCCGCCTCACCTCCGGGCGCCGCCCCACCTCTGGGCGCCGCCTCACCTCCGGGCGCCGGCGCACCTCCGGGCGCCGCCTCACCGCCGGGCGCCCCCTCACCTGCAGACGCCACCTCACCTCCGGGCGCCCCCTCACCTGCAGACGCCACCTCACCTCCGGGCGCCACCTCACCTCCGGGCGCCACCTCACCTCCGGGCACCACCTCACCTCCGCCCCCCCCAAAATCGGTTCCGGCCGCCGCCTCACCTCCCCCCCCCCCCAAACTGGCTGGTACGGTGCTTCCTCTCCTGTTTGAGCCCTCTTGCTGCCGGTCGTTCTAGCCTCCTCTGCCCTGTTGGTGGCTCTGTGATTCTTGTTTGTGCGTCACTGGTTCATTTTCTTCCGTGTTTGTCCCAGTGTGATTCCTCTTCCTTCCTTGTTTGTGCCCCTGTAATTCTTGTTTTCTCTCTTGTTTGTGCCTTGACTCTTGTCTCTTGTTTGAGCCTCTGTGATCCCAACATCCTTGTATTCCATCTAGGTGACTTTTGAGTCGACTCAAAAGTCACCTGTCATTCTTGTTTTCTTTCTTGCTTGTTCCTTGTTTCTTGTTTCTTTTTTGTGCCTCTGATCCTGACATCCTCGTATTCCATCTTCCGCTTCTGAGCAGGGTACCTCGCATCACCTGCCGGCGTTGCCACTGCAATGATCTCTGTGGCTGTCGGTGCTATTCTCCTGTTTGCATAGAAGGCATAAGTGCATTGTTCGGAGGAAGGCAGAACCAGCTTGCGGTGCTCATTCTGCTGGTATTGCATGGGTGCACTTTGTAGTGGATTGAAGGAGTTGGAAAATGCATTCTTGAAGTTTCTGCCCAAGTAGGAAGTCGATCCCTCCTGTAACTGGGCTGGTATTGCATGGATGCACTTTTTAGCTGGCTTGGAGTAACTGAGAGATGCGTTCTCAATGGGTGCTACTGGATTTGAGTCGACTCAAGCGTGACTGGGCTGGTATAGCAAGCAGTGCTGATCTTTGGGTTTTCATTACTCTGAAATCTGATAGTGACACTACCCACCAGGCCTGTCGTTATCAGGGTATTTTACCCGGATTCCCTGATTTCACAGGGTATTTTTTTGGCCAACCCTTAATTTTCAGGGTTGGACTTTTCTTAACCCTAGCCCCTTCAGGGTTGTAAGTTTCTGAACACTTGGGATTTCAGGGATTGCCTTATGCCAATACTGAGTTTTCAGGGAGCAACGCGTACGAACCCTGAATGCGATGCCACGTGCCTCACATACCTGAAATTTCGGCGATGTCCCCAATCTCTAGAAACATTACCCCCACACACAGAGCAACCTACAAAAATTGGCCAAGTCCTAATTGTACAGACAATCCCCCTACACACCCCACAAAAATTGGCAAATATCGGCTAAGTCCTATGGTAGACATTCCCCCCCCCCCTACACCCGCAACAACCCACAAATAACCTGCGTAGGTTATCACCCTAAGTCCTAGTAGCCAGAGTAGCACTCTCAACAAAAAATTGTCTGTCATGTTGTACAGACAGACATTCCCCCTCCCACACTCTCGCAGACATCCCCCTCGATGTCGATCCCCCGCTCAACTCCGTTTTGATCCTCGTGCCCCTTCCGTTTCGCCTCCCCACTCAGTTTAGCCAAACTGATGTTTTCCAGCAGCATTGGTTCATTTCGGAATTTCCCCCAGGCCCCCAGTTCCCCAAAAAAATTCCACCAATTTTTGACGGTCACGATCGAACGCGATCGTTTCGACGCTTCTCAGCGGTTCATCGATGGTCAACTTTGCGCGAAATTCACTTTTGTTATTGCCCGTGTGGTCAACTGAAAGTCCAGCAAACTTCGACGGCCACGATCAATCGCGATCGTTTCGACAATTTGCAGCCGTTAGATGATCGCGTATGATTAACGTACTCAATTTGCCCATAGCGCTGCAAGCGCGGGAGGTTTCTGCCACTGCCCCATTCGCCTCGATCCCCCCCTCTCCCTCCGTTTCGATACCCCCTTCCCTTCCGTTTCGCTTCTCCCATTCCTCACTACTGTATTTCGACCCCCCCACCCCCCCCCCCCAACCTTTTCCCTTCCCGTTTCGCTTCCTCTCTTCCCCTATATTTCCATACTCCCCCTTCCCCTCCGTTTCGCTCTCCCCCTCCCCTCGGTTTGATTCCCTCCCGTTTTTCCCCCCATTTTTTATTCCCCCCTCGTGTTGAAGGCAACCCTGAACGCGTTCGGTAAACTCTGGGATTTTCAGGGTTCCATATTTCTGAACACTTACAAATCAGGGTAGGCATTTTTTGAAAACTGAGCCCTCAGGGTAATTTTTTTTTTTAGTCGACAGCTCCGGGGGGTTTTTTTTGAAACGTCTGGCCTGTTTCCCACTGTTATGAAAGTCAGAGTGGTCCTATTTTTTTTCCCAGAGACTTCATGTTTGTCAATGAAATAAATGGAAAGGGGATGTAGGAGACTAACTATAGAATCTGCAAACACAAGGACTTGAAGTAGAAAGTAATACTGGAAATACCTCCAATAACAGCCAGCATTAACAAGTTGTAACACCAGAATCAGTATTACAGCCTTGCGATACTTCAAGTCTTAATGCCCGCGGCTAAAATAGCAGACCTGGAAACCACATGAATTTGGTGCTTTGAAATCCATCTAAGTATAGAATGGAAGGCAGCTTTGAGTTCAAGCCTGAACAAGAAAAGTGCGTCGAAACAAATTCTGGTCGAGCTTGCTGATAGGAGGAATGGCGAAAAAACTCGTTTTGCTGTTTGGTGCGCAAGAACACTGTGTGCATCGCACGGAGTTTCTACGACGGGTTTGGCCGAGCAGCATGCGACGAGGAAATACAGGCGCTTTATGACTGGGGAATTCAAGTGATTTCCAGGCCTGCAATTCCGGAATCAGCTACTGTTCGCAAAAAAAACACTGTTCTTCTCGCATTTTCACTGTTCATAGAACAACGACTTTGGTCGCACGACGCGTATTAGACAGTTCACCGAATGGTTTCGTGCAAAAACTGTCGCCAAACCGCCACAGTCAGATTCCGCTTTGCAAAACGAAATGTTTATATTCTGCCAAGTTCAAGTAATCTGCCAAGTTCAAGAGCAAATTAAACAGCCCTCTTGATTGCTATTATAGCCACAGGCTTTAAACAAGGACCTTTGCTGGAATGGTAGACTAGTAAGACAGCGAAAGTCTTAGAACTTGTAAGTGTTAACCAGATTTTACTGAAGTACAAGTTGATAATTGAAGTCATACAAGCTACTCTTATATCTGCGAGAAGTACGTGTTCGGTAATGTACCTGTTCGAAACTATTTGCGCTATGCGCTCTAATCGCAACTGAAGGGAGCGTGACTGTTCGCGTGACTGAAACTGCATGCTGACGTAATCATCCAGACGAGCGCTATTTGCTGACGTCATTCTACGGATGCTAACTGCAGTGTGGCTCGACAACATCTATCGTAACTACTTACAGAAATGCTTAAGTACGATTTAATCACAACACTCCCCTTCATTTCTAGAAGTCCGATAGTGTCACTTCTTAATAATTCCGCAGAGTTCGTTGCAATACTGGACCTTCTGACGGTGGGAAATGTGCAGCCATTTCATTGGTCGAGCAGTAGACCAATCGCATTCTCCCCTTCTCAACTTCATCATTGACGAAGAATTATCATGTCAAAATGTATTCCGTCCTGTTGGCGAAACCGGATTGGTGCGCAATGGATATTGCACTGTGGTTGTCGCACTGCAGGGTGAACTGTGTACTTGTCATCAATTTCGCTTCCTCTAGTGGTTCTTGTAGATAGAGACCTTCCCAAGTAGCTGATCAAGGAGCTATATGTGAACTTATACATGTCATGCATGTAGAAGTTATAGGCTAGTACCGGTGTGTGCTCCTAGTGAGTACAACCCAACTGCTATATGTTCCCTGATTCCCTTTCTAGTCACTTATTCTCGTATTCTAGCATGGTATCGAGTAGGTTAAGTCCACCCAACCGCTTCTGCCCGCGCCCTAGCCTCTTGCCTCCCCCCCTACCTACCTAGCCCAGCCCGGCCTGTAGCGCCCCCCCTGGCCCCGTAGCGCCCTCCTGGCCCCCGTCGCGTCCTCCAAGCCCCGTAGCGCCCTCCTGGCCCCCATCAAGCCCTCCAGGCCCCGTAGGGCCCTCCTGGCCTCCGTCACGCCCTCCAGGCCCCGTAGCGCCCTCCTGGCCCCCGTCGCGCCCTCCATGCCCCGTAGCCCCCTCCTGGCCCCGGTCGCGCCCCCCAGGCCCCGTAGCGCCCTCCAGGCCCCCGTTGCGGCCCCCAGGCCCCGTAGCGCCCTCCTGGCCCCTCGTCGCGCTCGCCTGGCCCCACCGCGCCCGCTTGGCCCCAACGCGCCCGCCCGGTCCTGTCGCGCCCGCTAGGCCCCTCCTAGCTACCGCCCGGCCCTTCGACCGCCGGCCCGGCCCCTCCCTAGCGCCCGTTCGGCCCCAGCAGCGCCTGCTCGGCCTCTTCCTAGCGCCGCCCGGCCCTTTCGCGCCCGCCTCTTCCTAGCGCCCGCCCAACCCCTCCTAGCGCCCGCCCTGCCCCTAGTCGCGCCTGTCCGGCCGCCCCGCGCTTGCTAGGCCCCTCCTAGCGCCCGCCCGGTCCCAATGCGCCCGCCCGGCCCCTCCTAGCGCCCGCCCGGCCTTTAGCGCCCGCCCGGCCTCTCGCGCTAGCCCGGCCCCGTCGCGCCTGCCTGGCTTCCAGCGCCAGCCCGGCCCCTCCTACTGCCTGCCCGGCTCCTCCTCGTGCATGCTCAGCCTGACGTGCCACTCGGGCCCCGTGTCCTCTGCTCGCCCACGCTGGGGCGCCTTGCAGCCGCCCTACTGGAGAGTGCTGCCGCCGTGTCCCCGTGCCGCTGTGCTTCTGCCGAGCTGTGGAGCTGTGCCGCTGTGTCGCTGAGGAGCTGTATCGCTGACCCTGCACGATGGCTGACTTTGTGCTCCGACTGGACGCTGAGGGCCACGCGGTTGACTTCGCCGCCTGGCTCTCCGATCTCCGCCATCAGCTTACAGGTCAGCGCCAAGATGGACACTCGTTGGTTGTCCATGCTGATGGCTTGCTCCCCCGCCCCCCTGCACCTGCTCCCCTCCCTGCTGACCCCACCTCTGCCGAGAGTGAGGCTTTCTCTACTGCTGCGCTTGCCTGTGCGGTCTGGGACTCACGCGATGCAGTAGCTCAGGTTGCTATCAGTCACGCCCTCCCTGTGTCTGAGCGCTCGTGTTTCGCTACTGTTGATACGGCCAAAGCTTATTTAGACGTTGTTGTTGCTCGCTATTCCACACCTGCATCCGCTTCTGCCGGCTGCTTGCTCTTCCCGATGCTGTTCCTAGACCTTGCTGCCTTCCCTACTGTCGCAAACTTTGCCACTCACTTGCGTGCCCTAGAGTCTCGCTATCGCACTACCAGCCCTACTGCCCAGCTCACTGCGCTCCCCCTCCCATTCTGCATGACGCTCTATTTTATCGCCATGCGCCTGCCGGACCGCCTAGCTAGTGCCCGCGACCGCTTCCTTAGCCAGCACCCGGGTGACCTCACCCTGACCGCCTATGTCGACACCCTCACCAAGATTGAGACTTGTCAGCGCTCTATCGCTCAGTCGAGCGGTGCGCCGACAGTCTCTATCTTTCACGGCTGTGCCCCCTCCCAGTGCACGTTTACTGACGTTTCGGCTGCGGTCGCCACTGCGACCCCTCTTACCGAGACGGTTGCTGCGGTCCACCCGCAGCAGCGCCCGCGCCGCGTTGGCCGTGGCCGCCAGGGAGGTCGTGGTGGTGGCGCTGGTGGAAGTGGTAGTGGTGGTGGTGACGGTAGTCCACCTGAGGGGACTACCACCGGTGGGCAGGAGCAGACGCAGTCGCCTTCGCAGCCGGAGCAGCCCCAGCAGCAGCCGCCACCGTCCCAGCAGCAGCCGCCGCAGCCGTGGGCTCGTCTCCCACCTGGTTGGCCCGGCACCTCCGGAGGTGGTGGCCGTGGTGGTGGCCCGCGCAGCTTAGCGTCTACTGGCAGCTCCGGT